TAAATTTTTAATTAGAGAATAACTCTCTCAACTGAATCTTCAGGCTGATATTTACATAAATAAATCCCTTACTATTCTGGAAAGATATATGAGCCTTTATTTACTTTACACTGAAGTACATGAGATTAAATTTACATATAATTTTCTTTATATGCAAGCAGAGCATTTAATTTTCAGGTTGAATTTGATCTACCTAAACTATGAGGTTGTGAATTTTATTTTTATTTCAATTCCATGACGCTTGTTCCATTTCAGTAATGATAAAGGATTTTTGTAATCAGCCACACAGCTACTGGTTCCCTTTTGACTAACAGTAGTTTATCACTCTTGTGATAACTGAAGAGTCTTGATCTGAGGCAGTGGAATAAAGAGGACTGACTGTACCATCCAGAGTGTCTGCCGTGACTCTCTAGAAACCTGTATCACACATAGGAGTAGTCTTCTGGTCCAGCTAAGTCTTCTTTGTTCTTTCAGAAAAAATTGTTGAGATTTGTGTAATAATTCAAATAGAAAGGTCCCTTTTCCCTTCCACCTGAATTCAACTCTTGGTCTTGTCTTTATAATCAGGAATTTTTGGAGTCCAGCTAGCTTTGAATTAACCAAGGGCCCTCATCTACCATCCCAGCCCTCACCTTGTGAAAGCACTGCATACATCTTGAAGAACACAGTCAGATGTGCTTTAAAGTAAGAATATACTTAGGTATGCTTCAAAGCATAAGCAATCACAGAACTTGCAGAACCCGGAAGTTAGTTCTTAAACTATTTGTCAAAGAGAAACTACTTCTGTCTCACAAAAGGAATGACTGAAGTATGCTCAGCTGTTTTAAGCTCACAACAAATATACTTCTTTTGTGGATTTAAATAACTGCTTTGTTTACTGGAAGCCAGACTGCCCAAAGCTGTTATTTTGCATGGTTGACTAGATAGAATATTTAGCCTTTATTTTTAAAGATATTTTCATGTAGTAAAAGCAGATAGTTGCTGTGTTGGCAGCAGTGTGAATTTCATTTCCTGTCTGTGGTGTACCCCACTTATCCTGTCACTCAGACATTTTGTTTTAGCTTGTTCCCGTAATGTAAGTGAAACAGTGACCCACAGCAGGGTGGCATGTGCACACTTCGGATGTAACCAGAGACAAGGCTTGTGCAACAGACCACAAGAGAGCAATGCTTTATTTAAAGATGAAAACAAAACAAAATCAAGTCAGCCCTCCCAGACAGCATGCAAATTTTTAAAGTGGCTTCTGTAGAGTCTTATGTTTTGTTTCTAGAAGAAATATTCCCATCTGTTTGGCAGATTACTCAAACATTTTATCAGCAAAATGCCAGTTTGTTAAAGGACAAAACAAAGTCAGTAACTGACATTATAAAGGTGATTTTAAGTTTGCCAAGTAATTTATCATCAAATATTTTTGTTTTTTAATCTAATCCATAAACTGCCAAATATAGTGAGCTCTATAATGGTTACTTTTTAGATGTAAGACTTGTCCTAAATTATAATTCGTGCTACAGTGCTAGAATAGATGTGATTGTGGAAAAAACCTTGGGATGAACTATTCAGCACATATCTTTTGAGTATCTAGTATATATCTGATATTATTTCCTCTGCTGAGGATAGAGTGATAAGCAAAATAAAGTCATTTTTCTTATGGTGATTGTATTCTGTTATATGAATATAAGCAATCAAGGTACAAATGAGTAAATATAATTTTAGTTTGTGATAAAAAGCCTTAAGGAAACAAAACAGAACAATAGGATAGAATTTGACTGGTATAAGGGGATGGTGATACTGAGCTGAGACTTAAATAATTACAGTTTAGGAGGAAAGTCTTCCAAATAGAGAACAAAAGACACAAAGCCCCTAAGGAAGGGGCCTGAAATACTGAAAACAGTGCAGCTAGTACACAGCAAACAAAAAGGGAGATGATATAAGATCAGAGAAGTAACTTGTGGTAGAATGCTACAGGGTATAGAAAACCAAGCTAAAGACTGGTATTTTAATCATTCTGGTTGCTGTTTACTGAACAGTGGTGGGGAGGGGAGTAGCTGCAGATAGATCTATTATGATTTTTGCTGATAGAGTATCTAGGTGAAGGGGATGAGAATATATTAGAAACAAAATAGCCATAAATTAAAGGTAGAATGTGATGGAAACTTGGGGATTCATCACATTATTCTTCTTACTTTTTGTATATACCTGAAATTTTCTGTTACAAAATGATTATTTTAAAATGGCTTTTTAAAAGTAGTGCTAGGGGGCTGGGGATTTAGCTCAGTGGCAAAGCGCCTGCCTGGCAAGCGCAAGGTCATGAGTTCAGTTCCCGGTATCAGAGAAAAACCAAAAAATAAAAAAAATTAAAAAAAATAAAAGTAGTGCTAATGAGAACTGACGGTCATAGTGATAATGAGAATAAATAGTCAAATTAAAGGTATATTTAAAAGTAAAGCTAATAAAACTTGCTGGTGGATTAGATATATTGTAGGAAGAAAAGAAAGGACGACCATTATGTATTTGCCACCAAACATCTGGGTGGGCTATGGACCAGTTGGTAGAAGGTAAACATAAAAGTTTAGGGTTCTTTTTGTAGTGCTAGAGATGAAACCTGGGGCCTCATACATGTTAGGCAAGTGCCCTAATTCTGAGCTATTTCCCCAGCCCACGAGTTTCATTTTGGCAATGTATATTTAAGATGCCAATTAGATTTCCAAGTGAAAATATTGAATAGGTGATGTCATTCACAATATATTAGCTAACCTTAAATAGCAGTACCGTACTCACAAACAAACCTGAAATCCTCCATTTTATGTTTCTATATTTTGCCATTAGTGATTTAAAAGTTCCAACTTTTTTCAGATGCTGTGGGTAACATCAAAAGTCTTATTTATTCTACTGATATGAAGTAAATTCTATATTTTCTATGAATATCCCTTGAAATTGTATCTTGAATAGCCTCTACAATGAGCTATAATTCTCTACCAGTTTAGGTGGTTGTTGCTATTGTTTTTGTTTCTGCTTTGTGGTACTGAGCTCCATCCTAAGCCCTTTTTTAATTTTTTGAGATAGGGTCTTGCTAAATGGCTAAATTGCCTGGGCTTCCCTCAAACTTGTGAGCCTGCCACAATGCTGAGTTTATATCCACAGCCCCTCTTGCCTTCCACCTGTATTATCATTTACAGGAATGATGATGTTAACATGAGGGACAACGTCCAGGGAGTTAAAGATACTTCCTGTGCATTATTCCTTTTCAGTGCATGTGGGAATTCAAGTTGGTGAGAATAAAATTTTTAAATATATTTTTTATTTTAATTGACATAGCAGTTGTGTACATACTTAGGGAGTAAAATGTGGTGACATTGCTAGCAGTAAGAAATCAACTAATAACAAATGCTGACGAGGCTGTGGAGAAATAGGAACCCTTCTCCACTGTTGGTGGGAATGCAGACTGGTGAAACCACTGTGGAAATCAGTTTGGAGATTCCTCAGAAAACTAGGACTAGAGGTCCCATTCAACCCAGCTATTCCCCTTCTGGGTATTTTCCCAGAAGATCTAAAAACATCATATCACAGCGATATATGTGCACCTATGTCCCTAGCAGCACAATTTGTAATTGCTGAATTGTGGAAGGAACCCAAATGTCCATCCACTGAGGATTGGATAAGAAAATTGTGGTACTTTTATATAATGGAATATTACTCAGCTATAAAGAAAGATAAACTCGAGGCTTTTATAGGTAAATGGTCACAAATGGAAACCATACTCATAAGTGAAATAAATCAGACCTGCATGTGCAAGCACCGCATTGAAAGAGTTAATTTAACTCAGAGGTATGATAGACATTGTGAAATGATAGGAAACCGCTCAAGGGTAAAGGGCAACCGGGATGTGGGAAAAGAGAAGGGAAAGAAGGAGAAATTTTGTATGTATGTATGTTCAGGATAGTTAACATAGTTGATCTACTGTCTTCTATTTGTTTGCTGAAAGAAACTGTTAATGAGTCCTTGATTGATCAATATTGCATGTCTCTATTTGTTTTCATGAGAAACCACTTTGAAGATATCAGTATGTAATACAACAAGCATTGTTAATTTCCTACCACTTTGTAACTCTGTATTTTCTGTACTGTTCTTTTGCTATTTTTAAAAGGTTGTCTTTCTGTTAATATTTTCCCCCTTTTATTTTTAAAATTAAAAAAAAGTATACAATCTTTAATGATCAGATCAGGGTTATTAGCATATCTATTACCTCAGAGGTTAATCAGAAGTATTGTGTCAAAATTGTCTCCACTAAATTGAAATAATACAATTACAAGCCATAATCCTTCTGTACTATTGGACATTAGAAGTTATTCCTCCCATCTAACTGCACTCCTGTACCTGTTGACCATCCTCTCTTCATACCCTTCTCTCCCACATCCTTCCCAGCCTCTCATAAGTACTATTCTGTTTGGTGAGAGTAAAGTTCTGATCTAACACTTTAATGTGGTACGTGTATTTTAAACATAAATCCTTTTTGCAAATTGTGGATGTGTTATTAGTAACTAAGTATTAAAAGACTTCACATTTGATGATAATCAGATCAGGGCAGGACACTATTGGTGAACGTCATTAGTGATAACCATAAATCACACAACCTCCATTTATTATCCCTATTTTACAGACAAGGAAATTTAGGCCCAAAAAAGTTCATTCAGGTAGAAAGTGGCAGACTAGGATTCAAACCTAGTCTGGTTCCAGAGCCTTTACCCTTTTATTTGATTACAGAGTCTTCACTCTTAACTGCTATCATATAATTTATATAGAACATTATACGTTTACTTAAAAAATATGATAGATAGGGCTATACTATATATAAGAAACCAGTCTGTCTTGATTTTGTTCTTACTTTATCCTTTGACATTGAAGCTATGGAAAAAGAGAGAGAATATCCTAAAAGGGATCTCCATTCTCCTCCTTAATTTTCTTCTTTTAATTTCTTTTCTTTTGACATTTTTTTCTTATAGCATCAGCGAGAGCTTTTTAACTGTCAAAGGTGCTGCACTTTTTCTACCACGGGGAAATGGCTCATCCACACCAAGAATCAGCCACAGACGTAACAAGCATGCAGGTAAAGCTGCACACAAATTGTTTCTTTCTTGATACCTTATCTTTTCTTTTGTCTTAAAGCTGAATGCATCATTCCCATATTTCCAGTAGTTTTTTAATAATGAAAGAAAGCATTGTGCCATGCTGTGATCACTTTTCTTTCAGCTATCACCTATTTTCTAGCATTTATCAAAATGCCTTTCACACATAGTAAATGTTCAGTAAATTTTTGTTGGAATAACAATGAGAAAATACAAAAATACTCTGATGAAGGGATTGTTATATGTCCTATTAAAATACCTGTTCTTACATGCCAGATTCTGCTCATTTAATGTATACCTAATAAAAGGCTAAAAATTTAATCTGGCTTTGTTTTGTTGTTGTTGTTGTTATTGTTGTTGTTGTTGTTGTTGTTTTATGTGGTGCTGGGGATTGAACCAAGGGCCTTGGCATGCAAGGCAAGAGCTCTACCACTGAGCCACATCCCCAGCCCTAAAAATTTAATCTGGAAATCTTTGATAGACAAAGAATCATCAAATAATTGTTCAAGGAGTAAATGTAAGATCTGGTTTTGAAATATCCACTAACAATAGTATATACATTGCATTTCCTTATGTTGGATTTCTCTAAAGTCAAGTGCACTTGTGATAATGAACTAAAAAAAAGACAGAATCATAGAAAGTATGTCCCAGGGAGACAGGCCTGTCAGTATAGGCTATCCACAGCTTTGGAAGATAAACAGCCTGATTTTTTCCCTTCCACCAGCAAGAACTATTTAGGTCATTTTGAAGACATAAAAGTCAACCTGAAAGCTGGGAGTAGTGGTGCATGCCTGTCGTCCCAGCACTCAAGAGGCTCAGGCAGGAGGATCCCTACAAGTTCAAAACTAGCCTGCGCTATATAGTTAGTTCAAAGCTAGTCTGAATTACGTAGCAAGACCCTGTTTCAAAAAAAAAAAAAAAAAATTCAACCTGAGAATAATAGTCTCGATCAGTACTATACAAAGAGGTAATTGCTTGTTGTCATAAATATGCCTTTTGATGATTTATGACCTCCAGGAGTAGAAGAAATTATACTTACCAGGAAGAAAACAATGAAGACTGCAAACTTTGAATGTATAGGTCAAAGGTAAAAGCCAGAAATACAGGATCCTACTGATCCAGTAGTTGATCTTAGCTCTGCTCAAGATAATCTCAGCTATTTTAGTGGTCTCTATCTTGTTTGGGCCTTTATTGAGTTACAAATGTGGCAGTTCAGAATTATAATCCATTTTGTTAGACAGTATTATCCTCCCACCAATACTCTCTAGTAGTGAACAAAAATTTTTAAAGTAGGGGCTGGGGATTTAGCTCAGCAGCAAAAGTGCCTGCCTGGCAAGCGCAAGCTCATGAGTTCGGTTCCCAGTACCGGAGAAAAACAAAAAAAAATTTTTTTAAAGTAAGGAGGAAACAATGTTTTAAAAATTAACTTGAGTTGTATTTTATAAAACCTTTCTCCTCAATGCCCACAACTGAGCTGGGAGGGGAAAAGAGGAGGATACTTCCCAAAAACCTTGAATGCACAGCAGAAGTAGACCAGCTAAGCTTTGTATTTCTGTTGGGTGTGGATGTTTATCCCTTACAGTAAAAAGAAGACAAATTATTGGCTTAAATCTAGCTTATCTGACAAGATGTCAGGTGAATTGCTCTGTGAATGTGATTGTTAAGTGAGACCAGTGACCTTTAAAGCTCCTGGCCCTGGTTGGCTTTTCTTTGATCAGCTTTTACACTCAAACTGGCACCCAGATTTGTTCTTGACATCGTTCACTTAGCTTTCCATATGCTAAAAAGGAAAGCAGATTTAACACAAGCCGCGTAGGCTTGATTTGTGATCCAGACCAGGACAGGTGAGGCAGTATAAATATAAATGCAGCTCAAAAAAGTCACAGCTTCACATAAACTGAACCCGCTTTGGCTGAGCTCACAGAAATTGAAAGATGGTGGCAGAATAAGAGCACATCAGAGGTGTGTTATGTCTAATTGTACTTTCTTATGCATGTTGCCTGAATTGGTTGCAATTTGTTATCTGGGTTGCATTTAAAATACCCAAATACTATCTTGGTGTTTTGTCTTGTGATACTAGGAGTTGAACCCAGGACCTTCACAGTGAGCTACATCTCTAGTCTTTTTTTTTTTTTTTTTTGAGATAGGATCTCACTAAGTGCCCAAGCATGGCTCAAACTTGCCTCAGCTCCAGCTCAGCCTCAGCCTCAGCCTCCAATAGTGCTGGGATTATAGGCATGTACCCATTTTGCAATTAAAAATTATAGGATGAAAATCTGCCAATATTCTAAAGGAAAATGATGAAAAGTCCTTAAAATCAAGCAAATCTGAAATTTAGAAATACTGACAATGGTAATATATGAGAAAATGTGGTAGGCCCTGATAAATTACCTCCGTTAGTCTCTGAGAAGAACAGTTTCCCAAGAGTAAATAATACTCAGTCTGCTTACACTAATATTTTTCATAGCTAGCAAACATACCCAGTTCATGGAAGAAGTCTTACTATAAGAGTAGGACTCCTGGCTTTTGTCTGACCTTCAATGTCTGATCCAGCTAGTTGGATCTTTGGACCAGTAGCACCTAGAGTGAGTACTTTGCTAGTACCTAGGGTTATCTTCCAGAATTTTCCCATCTTGAAAAATCGTTTTGTTGGTTATTTATCCTGGTAGGACAGTGGAAGTTTACTTTTTAAAAAGTTTCAGCTGCTTAACTCAGTTATAATTATAACTCAGTAGTTTGTCGTTTTCAGTACTTAACACTTGGTCACTTCACACTTGTTGTTTTATTTTCTAACAAATTAAGATACAGTTTAACAGTTTACCCATTTAAAGTGTACGTTCAGTGGTTTTTAGTATATTCAGAGCTGTACAACTGTCAGCACAGTGTAATTTTAGGACATTTTCATCCCATCAAAAAGAAAGCCCATGCCCATTAGCAGTCACTCCCTATTCCTCCCCTTTCCACCCCAATCCTTACACCTTAAAAACTATTAATCTACTTTCAGTCTTTTGATTTGACTATTCTGGATATCCTATATAAATGGAGTCCTATAACAAGACTTTTAAAATAGACTTCTTTAACGTACCATAATGCTTTCAAGGGTCATCTGTGTTATAGTATATAACATTACTTTATTCCTTTTCATGACCAAGTAATACTGTATTACGTAGATATGTTACATTTCATTTACCCACTCATCAGGTGATGAACACTTAAGTTGTTTCCAACTTTTGGTTATTATAGATAATGCTGTATAAACATTTGTGTACAGGTATTTATATGGACATATATTCCCATTTCTTTTGGGTTTATACCTAAGAGCTCACCCTGGATCTTATATATGAGACTTAGATTGTGTCTGTGGGTTTGAAATGTAGTAGAATGCATCTAGCCAAATGTATGACTTTCCTTTTTAATTTTAAAATTTGAGCTGGGTGTGGTGGTGCATGCCTGTAATCCCAGCACTTAGGAGGCTGAGGCAGGAGGATGACTCTGAGTTAAAAGCCAGCCTGGGCCACATAAGCTAGTTCAAGACCAACCTGCACTACCCTGTCTCAGAAAAATAAAGTAAAGTAAAATAAAATAAAATAAAATTTGAAAGTTTCTGCAACAGTGGAATGAGTCAAAAGCCAACAGCAAAATGGCAGGGGTAGGAGTGGAGTAAGAAAACTATTCTTTAAGAGAGGGAGGTTGAGGGCAAGGCTTTCAGACTTGCTGACTTTTTAGACAAACACAGCTGTTTCCCAGACTTTTTCTTCCTGCCTCTCTCCACTTCTTGCACATATCACCTTATAATCAACAGCTATGAAGTTAACATGAGAGAAATATATATAGATACTAAGACTAATGTGACAGCAGGTTATGCTGGTACCTGTGGTTATGTGGCAGTGTCAGTCACCTTATACTCTTAAAAAGAGATGCACCTGGGTGGGCAAGAACCAAGTTCTTAGCTTGTCATCATTTATCACAACACATATTCTAATTGTCTCCTGTTAGCCAAAGCCTTAGATGTTCTAGTACAGAATAGAGAATATGAGGAAATCTTTGATGGTTTAATACAGAGACATTTCAACTTATTTTTATAAATAGTATAAGAAAATATAAGAATTCAAATAATAGTTGACCATTTTAGAGTACCTAATATGTTTAGAAGGATACCCCTAATATGCTAGATTTAATATACATTCTCAGACATTAGTATCAGACAGTCATGTGGAATTATTTTAAACTGTTGATATTATTCTAGGGAGAATTCTAACAGTCTTCTTAGGTTAAATCCAAGGGAAGATTATAATTACAGAAACAGGCATAAAAGAAGACAAGTTTTTTTTAAATTAAGAATAATTCTTCGAGCATCAATTACACACCCCATTTCAAAAATGCCTTTGTTGCTACCTTCAGTGGTCCTGAAAGCATAGCCAGTGCTGCCTCTTCCTAACAGATCTCACCAACAGATCTCTCATCAGCATCCACCACTGTACAAAACTGAGACTGATCTTAAGTGTGTTTTCCATAGAACAAACCCAAATTTTAATGTATAGACCAACAGTGAATGTGGAAAGGGAAGCCCACCATTCTCTTTTCCACTTAAAAAAGGAATCGATAATTACATTATTTAATTTCTGTCTCTAATTAGTTCTTTAGAACCAGAACTTTCCTTTACAAATCACTAGCATAGAAGGAATCCTCTCTGCTCATTTAGAATGGAGAATAATTATTCTGTACTTTATAAATTTCACTAGGTGATCTCCAACAGCATCTCCAAGCAATGTTCATATTACTTCGCCCAGAAGACAACATCAGGCTGGTAAGTTAATAGTGTCATCATAACCCTCTTCCTCAAAAGACTGCCTACAACATCCAATACTGAAGAGACCTGGTTTGTGTTCCAACAGTGATAGAAACTTTGGGAATAGGAAAAAAGAATAGTGTGCCCCCATCACCCAGGAGATTAGAATTTCATTGTGGGCATAAAATAATATGAAATAATATAAATAGTTTGATGGTTTAAGACTGTTTATAAATACTAATTTGTAAGTTATTACCTTGAACAGCAATTGAAGTTCAGAAAAGGGAGTAAAAGCTTAGAAACTTAACTTAGTTGAGAACGGTTTTATGTAGACAGTAGAATTTGAACAGGTCTTGAAAGACAATGAGAAATGGATTAGTAGAAAGACTTCATGTTGGGGCTGGGGATATAGCTCAGTGGCATAAGTGCCTGCCTGGCAAGCACAAGGTTGTGAGTTCAATCCCCGGTACCACCAAAAAAAAAAAAAAAAGACTTCATGTTACTAGATAATAACATGACTTAAACACATATAGGGAAGGAAAGGATGGAGTGGAATACTCAAGGATTGATGCTGACCTCAGAGTCAAAAGACATGGGTCTTGCTCTTTGCTAATGGTGATGTTGGACAAGTTACCTTTTGCTAGGTTGCCCTTTTCCTCATCTCCCGAGTGCCTCTCATAGTTGAGAGGATTAGCTGGATGTGGTGGCACACAGCTGTAATCCCAGCACTCTGGAGGCTGAGGCAGGAAGATTGCCATGAGTTTGAGGCCAGCCTGGGCTACATAGTGAGACCTGTCTCAAAAAAAGAAAAAAAGAAGAAAGAATCAAATGGAAATGAATACACATTGAAAAGTGTGACACTGCCTAAATATGGAGATTATTGTTACCACAGGGAAGAGAGAGACCAGAAAACATGGCAAGCAAGTATGGATTTAATGCTGCACTGCAGCTCGTAGGCTAGAAATATTTTTGTTTGGACCATGCTCTACTTTTTTGTTTTTTAGGGCTTTGAAGTTTTTTGTTTCATTTTTGGTTTTGGTTTTTTGTTTGTTTTTCATTTTTTGGTGTTTTTAGTACACAGGGCCTTAGCGCTGAGTTGCATCCCTATCAACCCCCCCCCTTTTCTTTTTCTTTTTTTTTTCCAGTACTAAGGGTTGAACCCAGGATCTTCTTACTGTACCATATTCCCAGCCCTTCTTATTTTTTTACTTTGAAACAAGGTCTCTTTAAGTCACTAAGTTTTCCAGGCTGGGCTCAAAACTTGCAATTCTCCTTTTACTGGGTTTTGAGTGCTGCAGTCTCCTTCTAGAGGTGGTTTCTAGGTTCTACTTTCCTTGAAAAAAGAATTGGACAAAACAAACGCAAAAGGTAGTAAGTTTTTATGTTTATTAAAGGTAGGAAAAGAAATGCACTCTGTGAGCAATTTGGGACCAAGTAAAAGTAGGAAAAAAGTACACTCTATAGGGTGAGAGTGGACTACTGTGTAAGAGAGAATACAGTAATAGAGATCTCAGTGGTGACTGTTCTTTTCATATCTTCTGTTCCTCAGGCTGATGTCAGGCCTAAGCTGTCTTATCCAAAACTGCTCAACTTAGTGCAAGAAGTCTATATGCAGGACTTTGGGAACTATTATGAGCCGTGTGTTCTGGGATTTTGCAATTAATAGGTCACATCTACTTCTCCAGCCAGCCTGCCACACCCTAATCTCCTGCCTTGTTTCCCCTTGGGAGACACATATCTACATAACTCTTTATGGGCTGCTGGGAAGTGGAGGGCTCAGTCTTCATATAGCTACTTCTTGCTAAAAGGGATCATAGGCCCTACGTACTGGGAATTAAGTGCTCTCCAACTACCTTGGAGTGCTGTGGCTCACTGGCTGGATTAAAGAAATAAAAACCTATCAGAAGACAATGAGAGAAGAGTTAGTGTCTATATGTGAAGGACTGTTTAGCTGCCTGATGGGAGAAAGCTGGGTGAATTTGTCAGAAAAGTTACTTTACTATTAAGTTGGAGACGTAGAGCCCAAATATGAAAAGAAGCAGGTCAAATTTCTATACTTTCTTTTGAGGAAAACGTATGGCAAAGAGGGATTTTAGATAATTTATTTAGACCCTGAGTGCCATAGCTTTTGCAACATTACCTACATCATGAGTGCTAATTAAAATCAGGAGTCTCAGTACAAGCCCATTTATTTATCTGTACTCAGAGCAATAATGGAATCTTGGTTTTTGAAGAGGAACCTCAGGTCTTCCAGAGGCTCACAGGAGTAGCTTTATTGTTTTGGGTGGTCTTTTTCTTTAGACAGTTCAGGTGGAACTGGCTTTAATAATTACCAGCCCTCCCCAAAGTATGCCTCTCTCCTCTCTTTGGTACAGGTCCTACTAGAGGAGATGGTGTGATCTTGCCAAGATTCATAGACTGGGCAAGCTTTGCAGACCTATTGCATTATGCTGCAAGTTCTAGTCCTGTGAAAATTTGAGTGAGCCTTTACTATGTAGGATTTTTATAACTTTTTACTGTGTCCCTAGAGGAAGGACCAGTTTATTGGTTCTTCAGAAACTGGGAATAAGACTACTGTCTTGAGTGAATATAAGGCTGCCTTTCTTGCCTCTCTACTAGCCTTTTCACTTCCCAAGGAGAGTTTAGACATGTCTCTTTGGGGTCCCTTGCAATGAATAACAGCAACCTGCTTGAGAAGATAGACTAACTCTACAAGTTTTAGAATTTCCTGTTTGTGTTTTACTAGTTAGCAAGCTCCCTTTTAGCCAGATTGCTGCATGAACATGTAGAATCAGAAAGGTGTATTTGGAGTCTGTATAAATATTTAGCTTTTTGCCTTTTTCCTAGTACCAATGCGTGAGTAAGGGATACGAGCTCTGCTTTTTGAGCAGGGGTCCCTGAAGGTAGGAGTTTGACCTCAGTGACCTGTTGCATACTAAAAGCTGCACAACTTACCTTTCGATGTCCTTCTTGGACAAAGCTACTTCCATCAGTGAACCATATCTCCTGAGAGTCTAAGAAGGGCAGGTCAGTGATATCCTGTCTGCTACATAAGTCTGAGAAATCACATGTTCACAGAGTGGCTTACCTCTGAGCCTGTAGGCATCAGTGAAGCAGGATTAAGAATAGTGCAAGTCATGGGGGCAGTTGGGGCAGTGACAGGGTCTCACTATGTAGTTCAGGATGGCCTTGAACTCACTATAGAGTCCAAGCGGACCTTGAACTCACAGGAATCCTCCTGCCTCAGGCTCCCAAGTGCTGGAATTACAGGAGTGCACCACCACACCCAGCTAAAAATAGCGCAAGTCTTTATGGTAACCTCGGGTGTCTAGAAGCATGGTGTGGAATAATCCCAAAAGGCAAAAATCTGCTTTAGCCTTTACCAGAATTGGAGAGTTGCTCCCAGTTTTGCTAGCAAATCACTTCCTAGTAAAGGAGTGGGGCATGGTGGGATAATTAAAAACTCATGGATGAACATTTGAATTGACATGTCAAAGCAGGAGTAGGGAAGCTCTGACTAAGGCTCCCCTCAAGCCCAGTTATGGCTGTAGATCAGGAAGAGGACTTTCCAGAGAAGGAAGTTAAATTAGAAGCCAAAGAAATTGAAATTTCTTACCCATGAATCCAATTTCTCATAGGAGATAAAGATGTTTATCAACAGGAGGGACATTGCAGGTTACCTTGGGCCCCTTCAGTCCTCTTCATCAGAGTGGGAGGGTTTTGGCTGGCCTAGCCCCTCTCTGGGAGCAGGAACAGTCAATCCTCCAGTGCCATGAGTCAGACACATCAGCCACCTGACACTTGGAGCAGGGCCCAACAGCTTGGTATAGTCGTGTACCCATGGTCCTGTTTTCTTGCATTTAAAACAGGAGCTCTTTCCTGATTGTCCTTGGGTTTTCCCTTAGACAACTTGGGGATGTTTAAAACATTGCCAATTGTGACAGATATAATTGTGTCTCTTCTCCTTTCACCTTCATTTGGATCCCAACTGTGAACACAGAAAAAGCCATGTCTGGTAGTTGGGTCATATTTGACAATACTGGGTCTGTTAGGGTACTATTATGGCCTGTGTCTAGTTGTCCCCAAAAAGCCTAGTCATAGGTGGGACTTGTTCAGAGGTGGCTAGATCTACAGTGTGTGATGCTGGAATTGATTCATGGTGCTAGGATCAAGGGCACTAGGATTAAGGGTGTGACTGCTACTCACCCTGAGTAACCTGGATAAAATATAAGGGATAGCGAAAGCTATGGTCATCCCTTGCTTTGCTACCCTCTGCCCACCATGAACTATTTCTCCTCTACCTGGGAACCAGCCAATTATGGACTACAACCTCTACAAACTGAGAGCTAAATAAATCCTTCCTCCATTAACTTTGGACATCACGTATTTTGTCTCAGCAACCAGAGAGGCTAACCTCTGGTGAAAACTGGTGGGAAAGGCTCATATCCCCATGAAAGACAGGTAGGCATCTAAGGATAGGATCATCAAAGATATCAATTTTTTTTCTCTTTGAAGGCCTCTTTAAATACCATAGCCCTTGGGCCTTTCCAGAGATAAATAGCCATAAAAGCATGAGCATAAAGGATTTTACACCATTTTCCTTGTCTTTTGCAAAAAAGATCTAACTGAAGAATAGTATTGTAAGTTAGACTGCCATTCTGTACCTGTCTCTCTATTTCTCAGTTCATACTGGACCCAAACAGTCTTGCAATAGAAGATAATTTGTTAAAAACAAGGATGGAGCCCCTGGGCTCCAACTAGCTACCTGTGTGGGGCCTATGAGAGAGAGAAAAGATGAGGTCTTGTGTTCTTCACAGGGCATTCCCCACAGAAGGATGTAGGCCCACTGAGTCCTGGAACATTTTCCATGAGACTCAATTATACTACAGATGTCTTGTGAAGCAAGCAAAACCAGTGCCTTCTTATTTTTTCTCTTAGAAATCCCCATACCTTGTTGCCTACTATGCATCCTTCAGGGTCAAATTATTCCCAGTATGTAAGGATACAGCCAAATGGTT